GGGGGGAAAGGGGTGGGGAGGCAATTGGCCATAATGAAAGGACTGTATCAGGCTGCAGATTATTCTAACCAGTTTCTCCATACTTATATAAACATAAGAGTAAGAAACATGAGTCTGAAGACAACTAAACTATAACAATCCCACAGATACCCACCTAGGAGTAAGCCTATTTAATAAACTAGCACCCATGATCACACTGGATACGTGGCAATTGTATGCGGCATCAAGTTGCTTCCAACTTATGCTGACCCTTAGAGGGTTTAAAGGCCAGGCAAGTATTTGAACCCATATCTCCTGAATTCTAGTTTTATACTATCCACCAAAAGTACTGTCTATCACAAACTCAAAGTCAATAAAAAGAAACTTTGTGGGCAGCACTAGTTCTCTGTTTTTCGCTAAATTAGAATATACTGGACACTTTAAAAACATCTGTAAAATTTTCTGCTAGTTTACAAATACATAAGCAGAGTCTATCCAAAGCAAACAGATACCTAGGAACAAATGGCAGATCCACTAATTTTATGAGACTGAATCAACTCATACGGGCCTACTTGGCTTTTAAGATTTTTTGGGGAGGCTTCACAGTTTCCCTACTTTCCCGAACTCATTTGATGAGGACACAAGAGAGGGCCTTCTCAATGGTTCCTCCCAGGCTTTGGAATGCATTGCCGTGAGATGGATCCCCTCCCCTCTTGTCTTTCCATCATTAGGCAAAGATCTTCCTTTGCAGGCAGGCTTTTAAATGATAAGTGTCTTAAAAATGCTCTCTTTTGAAATGTAGATATTTTTAAATTAGTTAAAATGTTTTCAAATTTCTTTTTAGCCTTCACCAATGTTTAATTGTTTTTAATATATAGCTTTGTGTGGTATTTTTAAATTGCTAAGATAAAGGTAAAGGTTCCCCTTGACATTTTCAGTCCAGTCATGTCTGACTCTAGGGGGCAGTGCTCATCCCGTTTTCAAGCCGTAGAACCAGCGCTTGTGCGAAGACAGTTTCCGTTGTCACGTGGCCAGCGTGACTAGGGAGCACCGTTTTACCTTCCCACCGAGGTGGTACCTATTTATCTACTCGCATTTGCATGCTTTCGAACTGCTAGGTTGACAAGGAGCTGGGACAAAGTGGCGGGAACTTCCTCCGTCACATGGATTCGATCTTACGACTGCTGGTTTTCTGACCCTGCAGCACAGGCTTCTGCGGTTTAGCCCACAGCGCCGCTTTACTGTATAATTTTAATTGTTGTGAGCTGGGAAAAATGTGGCATATAAATAAAATAAATAAATAAAATTCCCATAATTCAATATAGGAGACCACCGGATGTATAACGGTACCAAATGATTTTAGCTAAAACTCTTATTCTATGTTTATGTGTTTTGTAAAGTACCATCTTCTCCAAGCTGATTTTCTATCTACATCTGCATCTGGAAGGTATCAACTCAAAAAATTCTAATGAGTGTTGTATACCAGAAAGTGGAGAGAGAGTCCCAGCTATCATGAGAAAATCTTCCATAACACCTGTTCTCTTGTACTACTGAAACATACTAACAAATCATCCAAAATTATTATGGAAAGTTTAGTCTAACAATGCATAACATTCCAACCTCTGTAACAGTATATTTCTCTGTATCAGTGCCCCAATCACATTTGGTTCTTCCTTATCTGGAAATTGGTGGTTGAACCTACACGTGCAGGATGCTGAGTGTTACAAGAACGTAATTTTCCCAGAGAGAAACAGTGGGTGTTTCAAGCAAGGATAGCACTTGGATCCTGTCGCTCACATCCTGGACAAATTGTGCAGGTGATCCAAAAGTAGAATGCTTCTTCCTGCTACATAATGCACCCTACAGGAAAAAAATACCAACAGGATAAGCATATTAAATTTGTTTTCAATTGCTCTTGGTGACAGTTTTCCAGTCAGTCACTGCCGTACTATATAATAAAAGCTGTGAATACACAAAGTAGCAAATTTTAACACTGACTTCTCTATCCTCCCTAGCTTTTATGTTGGCTTTTTAAGCTATGGAGTAGTGATGAGACCAAATGAATTTGGTTCCCAATGATGAAATTCATCAGTGCAGCACCACAGGTGCTGTGCTTACCCTTTTCCCCCTCTGGACCAGCTGGGCCACTAACCTTTTGTTGCATACCACCAGGGTCCTTTGTCTCAGATGGTGCTCCAATCCAGGCACAAGCCCAGGCTTCCTATCCCCGCCTCCCCCAGCAGCAGACCACTCATTGGCTGCGCAGGAAGAATCCCCAGTCCTGCCTCCTCAGCGAAGAGGTGAGATAAGTGACCCAGCTGGTCTGGGGGTGAGGGAAATGTATGCAGTCCCATCTCTACTCTGGAGCCACTCCTAGGCCACTCTCTCTCTGTACAGGAAGAAAATGATGTATTTTCTGTCCTCTCATTAGTGTGGGTGACCATGAAGAAGAACAGATTGCTTATTTATATCTGTGATTTTTCAAACAATTGTCAGTGAACTCACACCATAAGTTTTCCTGCACTTGCACAGGCATTCAAGAATCTTCCAAAGCTGAGCTGAAGTATTTGGGAAGGAGCCCATCCCCATACCTTGCTGTGCATGTATGTACTTAAAGGTAAAGGTTCCCCTTGACATTTAGTCCAGTCGTGTCCAACTCTAGGGCACAGTGCTCATCCCTTTCTCCAAGCTGTAGAGCCAGCGTTTGTCCGAAGACCTTTTCTGTGGTCACATGGCCAGCATGACTATACAGGGAACACCATTACCTTCCCACCGTGGTGGTACCTATTTATCTAGTTGCATTTACTTGCTTTCAAACTGCTAGGTTGTATGTACTTACAGCCCCCAAAATTCTTAAGTTCCAAATCTGTCATGGAATACAGCAAAAACAGGGCCATTATAAAAAAGGAGAGACAGAATGGACATGGGAAAAGTGTGAACTCTCACTGAATAGCAAGCTCACCTGATGGAGGAGTGTGTGGGGATCAAAATAACTCATCCAGAATGTGCATTCTAAGTGTCAGAGCTGACACCTGGAATTGTCAAAAGGTTTTTTCTTGTATTTGCTCTGGAGATATGCCTTCTAAGTACTGATGCTGTCAGTATCTTGGCCACTGACACCATCAGAAAATGTACGGTACCCTGGGGTGATGTACTTTAGAGGACACTGTGAGAAAAGACAAAGATGGAGGAGGCCTTTCATAGAGCGATTTTAATGGCTGCTGTTTGGTGATTGCCTCTGACTTTTTCCCAGAGCAAGGCTCCCACGTCTAGCATCCCTCTTTAGTCTGTCTTGTGAGATGATCAGTAAGCTATGCTTGCTTGCCTGCATATTATGAAGTTCCCTACAGCATCAGGAGTGGCTGTCGGTGGGTACAGTTTTAGAACCGCAATTTGCCCATTATTTTGAAAAGAGGCTTTGGTGCTGCAAAGAAGTTTTTAAAAAGCCCAGACAAGCACAGAAACAATGGGAGAAAAGTATTTTAATTTTCCTATCGTTTTTATGAAGAAAAACTAGAATATGGAAAAAAACACAAGGCAGAACAAACTATCTACAAGAAGAATGAGTCACTCAGCAAGAGAAGGAAAGCTGATGGCGATCTCATCCACAGCCTTAGCAGTGGATGACAAGGAATGTGGAAATTTTGGAGTGTACAAGTAGACTGTGTGGAACAGAAAGCTCTTATCAAAATGCTTCAGTACAGTTTTAGAAGATTATGGAATCTTCTACACAAGCACAAGAAAACGTATTATTTCACAGAGAACTTGAAGGCAAAACACCCACAGTGCACCTTCATTTACTCTTTGTTGCACACAGTCCCCAGGTTTCATAGTTTTTGTTGCCCATACCCAAACCAGATCCTTGGAAACCAAGGTTAACTAAAATGAAAGATATAATATTTATTATGTATTTCCAGGTTGGAAATATGTAGTCTTGTTTTGCAGGTAACCCATATATTTTCCAGGCATTAATACCTATACTTGAATTTGTACAAAGGGCAGCATCTCAAAACCAACAATTTGAATTCTGCAAGTGGCAAAAACAAACAAAACACACACTGTTCACTGCTCTGCTTTGTGGAATCACCACAACTGCACAAAATCATTACAAATTATTAATCCAAGATCACTTACCCCAAAATGAGATTCTTGCCAATGAGACGAAGCTGGTTTAGGATCTGAAGGCTTAGGATTATAGACTGGTGACTGAAGTGTTTCAATGGATATGGTCGATCATTTATAAGAGCTGAAGAATGACCACTGCAGAGGATGGTGGTTCCACATAACCAAAGCTTCCATAAACAGCAGCAATCCTAATTGGGAGGGGAAGAATTGATGCTGGGGCTTGCACCATTTCAACTAGATTCCACAGCATAAGAGCATTCTTCAGAATAAGGACCAGGTGATGGAAAGAGGAAGCAACAGCTTTCCCCACAGTTACAGAAGGCTGAAGATGGAGGGATGCTTGGTGTCCAAGGCCAACAACATCATGATCCATAAACTCAAATTACAGTTTAGCTCCTCTTCCAGATGGCTTCTCCCCAACAATTGTGATCAAGACCATATTTTTCACCCATTACCCAAAAAATTGCCAGTTCGCAAGATGCAGTGTGAGTAGCTGCATGCTCAAGAAGAATAAAACATGAAATCCCACCATGGTTCCAACCCAGCATAAGAAAAGGAATCCAGAGATTTGCAAAGACAGTCACTTAGAAATTCATGAAATTTGTCACTGTACGTGGAGCATTCAGGAATCAGATTCAAGACAGTGTGCTCAGCACTTCCCAAATACAACTATGAATCCAAGGAAATAGAATTTAAAACGACAGAAAACAATTTTTCAAAACACCACACACCTCAAGGCTCGCGATTTTCAAACTGTGTTGAACAAATACGAAAATTCATAATACTTCTGTGGGTCACAATAGTGATAATATAAATCTTCAGCTTACTCATATTAATCACAGGATCATCATACATCACCGATATTGAAACAGAATCTTCCACAAGACTCTACTCACTTGCATTTAAAGTTCTCTTGCGTGAAGTTGTGTTTATGAGGAGTCTGGGAGTCCCATCGTTGGCATTCAACCCCACTCCAGATAGTGCTCACAGTACCACGGTAGTCTTCTCCTTGTCCACTAATGCACTCTGTTGTCTCAGTTACTGATACAGAGTTGTTCATCACATGCTGAGCTAAGAAGAAAAAAAAAAGACACATCAGCAATCTCAGAACTTCAGATCATTCACTCATTCCTAGAGGTCACTCAAAAATGATTTCAGGATCCCAAGGAAATAGTTGCTAAAAACTTTAAAACCATGGTGGAGGAAGACCAACAAAAGCTATCCACAAACCACTGTAAGTTCATAAATGGTACATGAAGCTGATGGCCACCCATTTGCTTTTAGCCTGATAGTTGTAAGAACACTGCTTCTGTACAGAGAAAACGGTTGTTAGTTATATGGATCATATCTTTGATAAGTTGATGGAATCCTCTTTTTAAAAATGCCGTTTTGTCGATCAGCTCGGGAAACTAAGGATGGAAAGAAAATCCACTGGTTTCATACTTGCCTGTAAAAATACCCATTCTGTACTTCCCAATTCTAGTAATGCAACAAAATGCAGTTTCCTGAGATCTGCACCAGACCAGAGCTTGCAGTACATTTCAGGAAGGAAAATATAAGCAAACAGCCTTGGTCCATGAAAAAATCAATACAATATATTTCAGCCAATGGGAAATGAAACAAAAATGTAAATAATCGGAAATACATTATGCCAAAATCGGTATACATTTTATGCATGGGGGAGTGTCGAAGCCTAATATAAAACTGGTGGGATTCCGAAACACAACAATTCCATTGACCCAAATTTGAAATTAACTTCCACCACAAACAAATCTGTGTTTTCTGCAGTTCTATAGCTATTTAGGTTTTATTCTATGCCATAATGTAGATCTGTAATTATTTTATCAAAACCAAAATAAAAATTTAAAAATAAAGACAAAAAAGGTCGTGACACTTTAAAGACTCACTGCCATATTTCAATGTGAGCTTTTGTGGACAAGTCCACTTCCTCAGACATAGAAGCAGACTTGGAATGGATTAATAACATGGCATTTGTAACTTTTTTGCTTCCTTTCCAACAATACTGTGTCGTTATTGATACTTAAACAGTCTTCAGCTTGAGCTGGGTTATCAACAAACACCACAATTCCTGTCTGAAGAATTGAAATTGCTAAATTAAAACACAAACTACCTTCTCTTTAGACACTATGCCCACCAAGCCTCTTGCTTGGACACAAGTCCCATCTTCCAAAGAGGAGGCTACTACAGTAATACGGGAAGAGACAACCTGCCCTTGTAAAGGCTCTTTGTTAACGCACCCTGCTGTGAAGTATCCACAGCTCAGCATTTATAAAGTCAGTGCAACTCTATACTGCACATCTGTTCACACAATCAAGGTCTACAGTTTAATCTGGCACATAGATTACCATTTCAGTGTCAAGGCTGCTGGCACATACAAAAGTGGAGGAATCAGTAGGCATTTCTGTTGTTTAGCACCAGTCATAAAAAGACAAGCCAGACAAGATATATTATAAATCCATTTACATCTCAAGTCACTAGTCCCTCCTGAGTCAAAAGAACTACTCTCACACAGAAAATGAGAAACAAGGATCATTGTTTTGGGGGGGCAATGGGGGCTTAGAATCTGGATGAGTTATATGAAAGTCACACAAAATTATGGTTGAAGAGAAAAGTTCTTAACTTGAAAAAGAATCAGTTCCCTATTTAAATACTCCAAAAGCTTCATTAAGCTCAAACTGGTGCAAACTGAAGTGCGGTTGTGCTTTGCAAATGTGATGCTAACAGTACTCGTGTAATAATGCGTTTGGAAAGCGCCCACATTTTTCTGTTTGAAGACCTTTTGCAGATGTCTCCACAAACTGCACTCTGTCTGGCATGGACTATTGAGAACAGACTCCTGGAAGATGGTGGCTCCTCAAATGACGAGAATGACTCAAATGAGTCATTCAGACAAGCAGCCACTGGGCTGGCTGTTATGGCTTCCACACTTCTGATCATCGGAAATGTTTACCAAACGGATACTGCTTCAGGATTGTAACTAGGAGCACAGAGTGGTATGTGAGGAATACTTGCTAGATTCCAACCTCCTGCCAAATTAGGCTAACACAATGTGACACCCCGATGAGGAATTTTCAAACCCTTCATGACGTCCTCCTTCCAGCATGAGGAGAGACAAAGACAACAAGTACTTCTTTTTCATCCTAGTTCTTCACCATCGAAATCTATGCCCAAGTCGCTGCTAAGAGTCCCAGGTTATTACAGTGTGTTTGTGACTGTAAGCCACTTTAGGGGTTACGCTGAAAAGGTGATTATAATTATGAATACAGATACACATGATGGGTCATATCCAATTACGATTTTGCATTAATAAGCAGGAGTTCTGCTTGGGCAAGGTTTTCCTTTTTGTCAATATGGCATTTTGGAGTCCTCCTGATGCTGAGGAATCTTCCATTGCAATTGAGTGGACTGCAGTAGATTGGGGAGAGGGATTGATGGAAAGGGACCCTCCCCCCGCACAATCCATGTGTAGATGTGAAAAATACAGAGAACAGAAAATGAGTACTTTTCAAAAAGATGCTTTTACTCAATTAAAAAGTGCATGCATCAGAAAAGTGTATACCTTCTGGAAAATACAAACAAATAGCATTTGTCTAGGAAAGGAAAACCAAAATCCCATTTTAACATTGGCAGCTTAAATAAATTAGTTAAAAACTCATGAGTAAAAATTTCATAACTTTATGCTGCACAACTGTGATGATGTCACTGTTTCGGGGAAATTAGCAGTTTCCCATTCCCCCACCCAAATTATGGACATCCCTAAGAATCCCTTTTATCCTTGGGATGCCTTTGGGAGTCACAGAATGGGGATTGCCCGAAAACCACTGCTGCTGGACCCGGTTTTCATTCTGCAGCTCCCAAAGAGTTCCCCAGGATGAAAGGATCCCTTGGGATCTCTGAATCCTAGGGCAGGGGAGCAGAAATGTTTATTTCCCCCCCCAAATGGCCATGGCTGATGACATCGTCACACTTGCTCAATGTAAAATTGTGCAACAGGATGCCAGCCACTATGTATATTAACTATTACTTTACACAGTTTTATCTGTTCTAGATGGGAATGTCACTCAATAATCTGAGCTACATGTCCCGATATCTGAAATCTCATAAGCAAGAGATATTTAGGACTGAACCTTCATTTTAGCAAAGCAAAGCATAGCAAGAAACTTCAAAACATTTACCCAGCCACTGAGCTATGGATTCCTCCTGTATGTCATTTACTTTGACATTTCCAGAACTCTAGCAGGTATCACTGATAACAAACCATCTCAATATCTGCCTTTAAAGAAATTGTACAATGATCTGCAGTGTTCAGTAGCAAACAGATTAGTTACATCTCATTCCCATATGATACGTATCAGGGACGGGGACTTGCAACTTGAGACTTGCTGTTGAGTAGCACTTAAGTCACAACAGTGACTTGACTTTGACTCAGCATGAGGCTTTTCCCCAATCAATTTTTTTTTAATTTGAGCAAAACACACGTACATTGTTCAGAATGGCTGCCTCTGCACAAATCTAATGTTTTTTTCCCTTTGTGAAGCTGAACATCTACACAGAGCAGGCACAATAAAGCAGGCTAACTAGTCACAAACAACCCATCCAATCCTCCTAATTTCTATAAGGCAACAGTTACTTCATTTTTTCAGTTCCACACTGTACAAAGACAGTGTGTATATGTTCAAGATCAGGGTTTATATTGACACTGCATATTATACAGTACAGAGCTGTACAAAGACAGTGTGTATATGTTAAAGATCAGGGTTTATATTGACACTGCATATACAGTGCATGTTTGAGCACATTATACATTTGTATTTTGTATTCATTAGTTACACAAGAAGTTTTTATTGAAAAGACCCTACAAATGGTTTTAATGATAAATAATTATTGATAACCAATAAAGATCCAGTCTCATTTGGGCAAGAGACCGCATTGGCTGTTGTGTCTCACATGATTCATCTACTATGCTGAGAGGGCTAACCTCACATCTCACTCACATTAAAGCTTAGATTCCCAAGTCCCACTTCTCAATAAAGACTGAATATACAGCAGGTAAGAGTGCATGAACCTCAGCATTGCCCTTCACCAGGTACATAACCTACATGCCTAGCATGCATTTGAGAGAACACAATGGCTCAAAGAACTAAATCATAAGATTTGACAGTGGTGTGGTGAGTAAAATACTTACGTTAAATATTACTATTATCAGTTTTACTATTCATTGACAATGTTATGGAATATTAAGAGATATTGCATTTGAAGTCCTCCTATAATGTCAAGACTGAAAGCTTTTCTTTATAATATTATGAAATGTGGAGCAAAATGTTGTATCAGTATAACACAGCAAATAAAAATCAAATAATTTTCAGTTATTATTTAATAGCAACAACAAAAGGAACAACATAATCAGAAATACTTCTCCAGTACTAAATATTAAGATATATAAATTGTATGCATGCAGTACACTGGCTGAAATCCAGCACTAAGTTACAATGAGAGTAGGCCCATTGAGTCAGTGGGGATTTGGTGAGTTGATTAAATCTGTAAATTCCACATAATAAGTGAGCATACTCCAATTGCAATTTATTACTGGATTTCAGCTACTGATTCAATAGTCACTTATAATAAGACCATTCATTTTTATGGCTTTTACTATGAGATATATAGTAACATTCCAAAAAAGGTAAAGTTTTCTTTAAAGCCAATGAGATTACATGTAGGTAAATTATTCACAGCAAAAAGAGGCAAACTCAAAATATTTCACATGTGCCAAGAGAATAAATTTGGGTCTTTGATCAATTCCGAAGTCAAACGTTTAGGTAGCATAAAGTCCAGACAGCAATAAATATACCAGATGTTTTGTATTCTCTGGAGAGTTCTTTCAGCACTGTTCTACATATTAACTTCTAGCATGAAAGCAAGTGCTTTAGACAGACCATATAACTTTGTTTTGATGGCTTAAATCCAGCCGTTGGTCCCAACCAGAGTAGACCCACTGAATCAATTGAATGTGCTGAAATGCTGACTTTGCCATTGATTCAGTGGGTCTACTC